AAAAAAAAAAATCAATGGGTCAAACGAAAAAAATTGATTAAAAAGGAAAAAAACAAAAAACAAATTCAGGTTAACTCATCAAACCTGATATCCGTGTAATAAAAATATGATAACTAAATAAAAAAATTTCACATTAACAAACTAAATTTAACAAAAAAAAAATCATTAAAAGTAAAAAAACACAAAAAAAGGCAAAAAAAAAACCCATATGCAAAACAAAAAAAAAAGGAAAACAAAAATGAAAAAAAAAAAGTCAAGTGTTTCACTGTGCACAGTGATACATTATATGTAAAAAACAGAAGAAACAAAAGCGGGAAAAAAAAACTATTGATACGGTGAAAAACCCACGCGTTTTAAAGTTAATTAAAAAAAACAAAAACAAACAAAAGACATAAGCATATTACCAATGAGAAAAAAGAAAAAAAATTTGAATTAACTAAGTTAACCCGTTAAATCAAGTTCACCTGTCAAACCTAAAATTCACGTCATGAAAATTTACCAAGTAAATAGAAAAAAAAATCAACAGGTCAAGCGAAAAAATTGATTAAAAAAAAATTCAAGTTAACTCATCAAACCCGAGATCCGTGTAATAAAAATATAATAATTAAATAAAAAAATTCACATTAACAAACTAAATTTAACAAAAAAAATTCATCAAAAGAAAAAAAAAACACAAAGGAAAAGGCAAAAAAAAAAATCATAGGCAAAACAAAAAAAAACGAAAACAAAAACGAAAAAAAAAAGAAAAGAGGTCAAGTGTTTCACTGTGCACTGTGTGCACAGTGAAACACTATATGTAAAAAACAGAAGAAACAAAAGCAAAAAAAAATACTGCTACAGTGAAAAACCCACGCGTTTTAGAGTATTCTATAATAATAAGCTCCGAAAAACAGCTCAGAAAGGCCAATCACCTGCATAAAAGTAATCTTGGCGGAAGGTAGAAAGATCTCTTGACAAACTGAAAATAAGAAATACAAAATGTAAGAAAAAAGACGAGTCAGAGTGAATAGATGCCACAGTAACAGATACCTATCAGGTTAACCGTTAAGTTCAACTGCTGACCTCCAATAAGTGGACCCTCGGAGAGTAAGCTTCGCATAACTGGTGATGAAACTCGCGTATCTCATCAAAGATATCTATTTCAGGAAAGGGCTCCAGCTCCTGCAAAAGCAATAGCATGACTTAAAAGGCTAGCTTTCTACTGCTTCACATGACATAAATTTTACAAGATGAGATCATATAAGCCAATATCATTAGCACCAATATCAATTTACACCACAGATGAAAGTCAAAACTTACTCTAACATAATCATGAAGAGATGGATCAGAGCCCACAGTTAGCTGGCGGAGCAAAGATAAGATTTCATATGCTCTAGTGCCAATTTCCCCAGAAGTTTCAGAGGGAATGCAACATGCTACCAACTTCGAGACTAAAAACTACACAACCCACAAAAAATGAACGAAGAACATTGGGAATGCTTTGGTTAAAGATAATTCTAGGTCTTAGAATATCTTAGAATATGAGGTACCTGAAGCTGTTCACCAAGCACATTGGCAATGTCTTTGGATGGGTTGCCTTTTAATGTGTTGAGCAAAGCAGAAATAACACGGCAGCATTGATCTTGTAAAGCATCACAACCAATGAATTGTCCACTCAAATTGATAAGATACCTGTTACTCAAAAGAAAAAAGAGTTAAAATGACTAAGATAAAGACATATTTGTTAAAATTACAAATTGCCCAAATATTTCAATAGATAAAGTAAAACACTCTATTCAGTTAATGGAATTTTAATGAAAAAAGACAAACAAAGTGAAAATGGAAGCAAAGAAAAGGCAAAAGCATGAGAAACAATGTCCAAGGGAAGGAAACCCTTTCCAGGGTCATATCCATCAAATAATTTGGGTTGGTGAAATGATTCCAAAAGAAGACGTCATGTAAAACCAGAAAGATGGTTAATAACTCTTTGTATTTTGTGGATATATGGATGTACCACTGCATCAAAATTTGCAGCTTCACGTTGCTTCTAGACCACCCATCACAAAGGAGTTTTGAGGAAGATTGAAGTTAAGAGAAGGTGCAATTATACTGTTATGATGTCAGATAAGTAGGGTTCATCAGATAAGTAAACAGAGAAATAAGGAGAAAGAATGTTCGAAGGATGGAGAAGAAAAATCTTTCAAATAGGAGAAGTAGAAAGCAGAGATCCAAGACTTGAAACCAAAGTATATAAAAGAAAAACCACCAACTACCACAATAGTTTAAAAAAATATACTTAATTATCCATGCAAGCAACATATACATGATTTTTACCAGTCAATGAACAAGTGTACTGGAAACAATGCTTCAATAAGTTTGTATAATTGATCCAAAAACCCCATGAAAAAACTGAACAAACATAATCTTTAGCACCATATAGCTTTCAAGATTAAATTTGCTTAAAACAAGGTTCCGATAACTTGGTTGTCATTAAAAAGCTCCATTTGAACAACTATAGACATACTTGAAAGTGCTTGAAACAGAAGCTCTGTGCCCAATGATATCTACAAGCACCTCAATTCCAGCCAACCTATGGCATCTGTGCCTATGATGAACTGCCGCTTCTATTTTGTAATGTATTTGCACTAGAAACTGCAAATCAAAACATGAAAAGTATCGGCAACAAACAATAGATAATGTTCAAAAATACATACAAGGCACATGCTCACCATGAAAACTCTATCTGGGCGAAAAATGTTAATCTTATCAAGCACAGAAACACTTGTAGGATAATCCTCCCTGCATACATGTAAAATTTGTGTTAAAAAAAGAGGATCCAGACAAATAACATAAAAGAAGTCAAGCGAGATAAGAAGGTAATGCACATTTCCAGAAACCCATCCACAACTGTTTGAATTGTACGTGCCACTGTTTCTCTGGAAAAGAAAGGGATTGCAGGATCCATTGCACAAGAGGCAAGGGAAAGAACATGGCTCACAATAGATACCTGCAAATATTGAAGGAAACATGACAATATATGCAGTTGATAACTTGATATATTTATGGAGAGAAATTTACTGAATTAAGATTCTTATTTAGAAAGAATGACATCAATCTGTCCACGTATGACAAATAATAATAAAAAAAAATTGCAGAGATTAAATTCAAGATAGCAAAAGGCATGATCTTATTGGCATGAAAAATTTAAGGATTTGTCCACATACTACAGAAAGCATTTCCATGCATGTTCATATCAGAAATTAGTACATATCCAATGCTCCCAATATGCTTCCATCATTTCTCAAACAAAAAAAACTTTAATATGTAAATACAATCAGAAACTTGTAAGGAACCCTCTCACATGAGAAACATGAGTTAAGATATTATGCAATTATTAATAGGTACAAAGCCATATATATTTCAGAAGAAAAAGAAGATGATGGTGATGGCAATCAATGTCTAACACGAGGATGAAGTGAGACAGTAATACAATTGCTGTAATTAATTTAGTTCTTGATCTAAACATAGCTAAGGTTTTTTTTTTTTGGCCTAAAAAATCAGGGTGCTTGTTTGATTAAAACTAAATGACAGTATTGTTACAATTCATTTCATAGAAAGATGTCTGATGTTACTCATACATCTTATCACATCCTATTGACAAACCAATGCTACATGGCACATGAAAATGGGCCTTGGATCAAAGAAATAAAAATTGTTCCCTCGAAATGAATATGAATACACATAACTGCTGGACAAAAATGTTTTCTTTTAAGGGACAACATAAAAGCTGGAACTGTACAAAACAATTACTGACAAGTGATTATCCATATAAAGAAAGGAAAGGAAGAAACAAAATTAAACACGCAGTGCACTTACAAGGAGCTAGCTGAACCTTAATACCTAACAGTGGAATAGAATAGCTAAACCTTAAACTGACAAAAGATGTAAATAAGTTCCATATTAGATTCACTTTTTTTTTTCCTCATGCCACTATCATGTTAGTTTGCAATAGCGCACACAATAAACTGAAACAGCCAATTTGAACATTTTTATCCCACTGAAATATTTTGCTCTCCACAGAGAGGTTTAGATTTCAAGAAATAGGAGCAGACCATGTGTTTCTTTATGAGCTTGTCTCTTTCACTCTCAGATAGCTCTGTCAAACACAGAATTGAACTCTGAAGCACCTTTGCTCCTCTTTCCCAACCAGATCTCTTACTACAATGCAACGCAATACAAACTGAAAATAGTGGCACAAAGTGAATTTTAAATAGAACTGCCAAAGGCTGACAAGCAACCTGCAACAAAACACATTTGTCAGCAGTTATAACAAACACTAGTGCTAGTGCTAATACAAAGTAGCAAATACAAAATAGCAGACATTACTCTCCTACCCTAGCCACCCAATTCAGGTTGGAACTATCTTCATTCAGAACCAAAGCTGGAAGAAGCCAGTGGCAACAGTATTGCATGAAATAACTAGGTTCAGCATCTGATACAAAAAGCTGTCGAATCTACAAAGCACAATTATTAAATGGTCAGGTAAAGTAGATACTTCAAGTCGTGTGTTGAATACAAATATACTGTAATTACAACATTTGCTTTCAAGTAGTTAATTCAGGTTACACTGCATTGCAGTTATATATGGCTATTCATGTATACCATTTGCATAGAATAAATACCTATCAAACAATTATTCACACTGCAAACCCCAAACATTATCAACCTAAATATGAATACCATGCAAAGAGGCCGAGAATGCCTCAAATGAAGCTCGAAACCTTCTTATCAATTCCTATCCAGA